ACGTTGTACATTTGCTGTTATGTTAAACTTATATTAAAGTTTTTCTTCGTTACCCATTCAAGCTGTCTTCAGCCATTATTACTGAAATTGTTATTTGTAACGTAAGAAATAAGTTTCATATGAAAGTATTAATCTGCTCCAAAATAAATAATTGCATAATGTTTTACATCAGCCATTGTTTGGTTTAGGCCATATGAATAGTTTGAAAAATATTAATTATATTTTATTATTGAATTGCGGTAATATAATGCGTAAAACAGCAGTAAATATTAATTATAAGAAGTAAATATGTTCTTTGAGTAAATTTCGTCCGTTTTACGCTACAAAGTACTGTGAAAATAACTTTTTCGAATGTTCGCACAAAGCTATACGAAGGATTATCTGTGAATGTCCGTTACTAATTGTAATCTGATAGAGTAAAAGAAACGAAGCAAGTAAACAGCACCTACCACCAACTCTAGGACTACTCTATTCTGACCGAATTGTGATATTTTACTTTCAATCTTATCTGATCAAAAACAACCAAGTTAGCGTAAAGGAGTCAGCCGTATAGAGATGCAATATCTAAAAAAAAGCCCTTACATAACTTGCATCCTTAAATAACTTAGCTGTTTTTGTACATGCAATTTTTTAAATCAGATATCACTATTTTGCATTTTAATTATTTTAAAACAATATTACACACGAAGTGAAATTCGAACCCAGAAAATAATTAACCATTAAAGTAAAACAAAATAATAATATATTTACTACAGTTGTGTATTCCTGGTCAAATGTAGTATTTGTTCGTGGATTTTTTCCATTCCGCCCCCTCTTTGATTGTTATATGTATTGTCTCTTCAACCAGGGAGTGTATATGGGGGTTGGGTGTGTCTATTGAGCTAAAGTCAGGACCAATTGCACGAGACTGTGGTAGATCAAATGTCGTAGGATATGATTTCTGTAATTTATGGTATTAATGGTTCTATTCACAGAAGTAGAGATTGCTACATCCACCCTGTCTACACACTATACTTCCACCAATTGCTACATCCACCCTGTCTACACACTATACTTCCACCAATTGCTACATCCACCCTGTCTACACACTATACTTCCACCAATTGTTACATCCACCCTGTCTACACACTATACTTCCACCAATTGCTACATCCACCCTGTCTACACACCATACTTCCACCAATTGTTACATCCACCCTGTCTACACACTATACTTCCACCAATTGTTACATCCACCCTGTCTACACACTATACTTCCACCAATTGCTACATCCACTCTGTCTACACACCATACTTCCACCAATTGCTACATCCACCCTGTCTACACACTATACTTCCACCAATTGCTACATCCACCCTGTCTACACACCATACTTCCACCAATTGTTACGTCCACCCTGTCTACACACTGTACTTCCACCAATTGTTACATCCACCCTGTCTACACACTATACTTCCACCAATTCCATATTTTCTACGTTTTTGTTTACAAATGAGGTTGAATCTGATTCCAGATTATTCTCAAATAAGGGTTCATCCTTCATCTGACTGTAGAGTGAACAGTGACTCATCTGTATAAAGAGTATTGCTGTACATGTCATTGGCCATTTGAGCATGTTCTTGGTACACATTGCAATCAATCTGTCTTGTGCCTTGCTGAGAAGATAATGTATCTCATTGAGCCTCCAACATACAGGTTGACCTTATGAAGTCTACCACTTGAACACTGATACAGCTTCGAACTGTAACTGTAAACATCGGATTCAGTTTAAGAGCAGGTAACCTACAACTGCCACGAGCCAGAATCAACAGTTAGCATTCGTCTGCTTCTAATGCCTCGTCAAGATGTTGGAATACCTATATCATTAGATTGTAAACAGTTTCACATTCTTCTAACAACTTATTGAGACACGTGCAGCCAATTTACAATAGCCTGATATGAATTACAAGTTTCAATGAATGTGTCTCTGTATGAATGAAATGTCTTCCTTAAGATCTACTCAGTCTTCAGAAACAATAAGGAGTATTTTAATCCCTGATTTATTTCTAATTAAAACCTGAAACAAGATAGTGAGAGAAACAATCAGGTGCTTGAGTTACATAATAATGAACTAGGGTGATTGACATTATTGGATAGCGGATACCAACCTAAAAATAAACAGTTTGTTTATAATAACCTTTACAGGGTAATAAATCAACCTGGTAATAGCATCTATGAAAATGATTCCCCTTCCTATACTGAAAGTTCAGGATGTTTCTCAGATACAAAATAATTAATTATGATTTGAATGTATGAGTGACTTTTAGACCACACTGTACCTTAGAAAAATGATTGATTAAAGTTAAGAATTATATGACAACCAAGTAAAGGACCCAAGCCATGTAAATTTTTACTTATAAATATTAAAATGTATTATTATTACATATCTCCCATGTAGCATGTCCAGTCAATTACGTTGATCAAAATGGTAAAACCCCAGACAAGTCTATATCACCCCATGTAGCAACTGTCCGTTCAATTACATTGATCGTATGGTAAAACCCCAGACTAGTCTATAGCCCCCATGTAGCTTTGTCTTCCGCGGGGAATCGAGCCCCGAATTCTAGAGTTGTAGATCTGTATACTTTCTGCTGAACTACCGAGGGACTTTTGTGAACAAGAAGAAAAACTGTTCAGTTATCGAATCATCAGAATAATATTTTCTTCTGACGTTTCCACTAGTTGGCATAACACATGATACTTTTTATGGCCAGAGCGCAGATAGTCCACTGTATAGCTTTGGACTCAACAATAGCAAACAAAACGTCTCCTTCTGATACGTATATATCTTGAGTAAGGAATCTAATGTAACAATAGGTAGGCAAACAACGATTTATAAACATAAAGAAGAGTTTTATTGATGGTGGAACGTACTACATATTTGGACAGAACATTGGTCTATCAGATATCTAATATAACAATAGGTAGGCAAACAACGATTTATAAACATAAGGAAGAGTTTTATTGATGGTGGAACATACTACATATTTGGACAGAACATTAGTCTGTCTTTTTCAGGTATCCAGTACTAAGCAATACAAGGTATATATATCGTTAAAAAGGCAAAAGACACAGGCATTAAATGCCACGGAAATGGTGTCAGCAAATGACAAGATATTGGTATAGGTCAAGTCTAGTCAAGTGTATTGAAGTATTTGTGGAATGCAGATACTAAGTATTAGGTCGTCAAGAAATTAATGCCGCTTTTTTTAGATGACAAAACCCGAACAACTTATATATCAAAACAAAACATTTATTAAATGAAATAGTCTCCATTCTTATCGATTATACTTATCCATCTTACAGTCAGGTTGTTAATGCCCTGATTAAAGAAATCACTTGGCTTTG